AGGCTTCAAAAGGTGCAGAAAAATAAGGAAATCTGAAGTCAAAGTTACTATTCTAACAAAACTTATTTTATTGTATTTAGGTATAATAAGCATTTTATATAAAATTTGCATTCTGTCATTATACCTAGGTACAATGAATGAATGAATGGAGAAAATAACAAATTCCATTTTAGTTCCATTATTTTATTCAGTTTAAATTAGAAACTTAAATAACCAAACAGAAAGGGCTTTTTTATTACATTTCCTGTTTTTTCTTAACAAAACACGTTATATTTAGTTTTAAATGTACGCTAATCATAGTATTTTGGTACTAAGACGGTCACACACAAAAAAATAGTAGAATGCACAGAAGAAAACCAGCATATCAAAAATGTATCAGCTGAGCTCATTCAGAGATACCATGGTTTTCTATAATAAGAATAATAAGGATTGTGTATCATGGTCCTTTTATATAAATAATCAGAGTATCATTGAAATCAGTGAATATGTTATGTTATAAATGCTAAGATAAAGAGTTGATGCCAATCATAGCAGCCTCTTTGTAATCTTGAAAGGCAACTGACAAATAGAGGTATCAAATATTGATCAACTTCAGATTTACTTTCAGAATGCACCAAAATAAAGGGTATTGGTTGTTTTGGTTTAAGTGTATATTTTTAGCAACACAGAAGGATCAGGAAGACAGCAGTCATCTCTTGAAGGGTCCATTTCAAACAGATTATTTGATGGAAGTGTAATTCATCTTTAATTTTCCCTTTGAAAACAAGAAGTTTCCATATTTTGCACAGACACTTTTATAGACAGTTATGGCTGAATGTCCTCACCTTTATCATTTATGGCATTGAGAATACAACTTTAAAGTCAACAGACTTGTGGTAATTCAGAAAGCAATCCATAAATAAATGGCAACTGTCATATTATCACAAACTAAAAATACAGGTTCCAGTTCTTCAGAAACCTCACATTTCAGTAGTTCTGAGGGAAACCCTGCCAGAATTGGGCCAATTGTTTTACACCAAAATCCATATTAATGTTCACATACTTCTCTCTTTCTATCCCAATACTAAAGATTAGCAAGATATTTATACATAAAGAAGAGTCTTCCTTTTTTTCAAATAAACCTGCTCTTCATGCTTGATTTAGTCAGTGATGCTACAGTTCAGTGTTTGTGACTTTATAATGGCTTTCCTGGTAGCAAACAGTAATGTGCCAAACACTGACTGAAGTGTGACAGAATAAAGTAAAAATCACACAGGAAGGGGAGTATTATAAAATGAAAAAAAGATTTATTTTTAAGTTTGAAGATAATTTTATTTTTATCCACATGATGAACCAAATCCAACCAAATAGTGGTGTATTTCCAGACTGCCTGTAGGGATGGGATGGGTGGGGTGGGGAAGAGATAGTGTTCTTTTGGTGATGGGGGGGGGGGGAGGGGGGGGAGAGAAAGCAACCCCATTTTCCAGGATCATAAGAAAATCACATGCTCTGGAGCTTCACTTGATAGTTTAAAGAACTACCTGCACTCATAGACAAAATTATAACACCCATTACACTTGGTTCTATTTATACAGAATTTATAAATTGAAAACAGTAGTTAGTTTATTTTTGCATTATTTAAATAAGGTAAAATATACTTACTAATAATACCAGCTTCTGATATTTCTGTTTCAGTTCAGTCAGGTTCGCTGATGGTTCTGCACCCAGAATTCTATACCAGTCTTTTCGTGGTATGTGTTCAAAGGCCATTATGTGACTAGCTAGGAAGTGGCTTCTTTCGAAATCTGCTTAACAAAATAAATAAAATAGTGTAATGATCATTTAGAGTGCATTTAAAAGAATTGCGTGTGAGCAACTTGAAACACGACAAAATATTGGACCATGGGAGAATGTGACTCCACCCCTCAATCCCATCCTAACAATGGCAGCAAGAGATCACATGCCACAATGCAGACAACTGTTTAACATACGCAGCCAAATAGGATTTATTACTTAAAATCAAAGAGGCAGATTTGCCTGTGGCTGATCGATTTATTCTGTTTCTAAGGGCACAATGCCTTGTACATTCCCTTTCTGTTGTTCCACCATTTTTTCCTTCATCATACTGACCTTTTCGCTATAGAAATGCAGGGGGAGAAAAAAGTCTAAGCAGTCTGGTGTGAGAATTAAATGTGCAACACATCACAAGGCCAATATATCTTCTGCCTTTCCCCAGTATTATTTCTGCTGTTTTGTTCCCCTCTGCTGCACAGAGAAGCATAGAATCTCACATTATAATCTCAACAATTTAAACAACTAACAGATTCGATATACATTTCTGAAATTTGGATTGATTTAACTTGTTTATGCTGTTTTAACTCCATTTCTAGGTAGAATATAGGAAAACTGACTGGAAAACACAATATACCCTTTCAAATTGTTCAACTACTCAAGTCAAAAGCACATTTAGTTCTGTGACAAGAACATTACAGAAGTCTTTTTTTTTTTATCCTTTCGCTGTTTTTGGTAGCATCATTGCCATTTAAGTTATACAAACATTTTCCTTTTAAATCAATAGTATTACATTTCACTTTTGCTTTTTTTAAAATCATGAAGCAGCCTCCCATTCAATATGTGAGAATTCAATTCAAACATTTCTCCTTTGAGCTAACACACAAAAATACCTGTAATAGTCAAAAATACAGTCAGTCATTTTCATAATTCTACAATTACAAGGTTGTTCCAAGCCCAACCAATGCCATTTCCAATTGCTATTAGTAATTCACTTAGATTAATGCCTAAGGATTATTTTGCAAAATTTAAAGGGCCTGAATTTACTTCTGTCTGAATTATTTTTAACCAACAATTTTTACAAGTAACATATACTTGCTATGCTATAGTAAGGCCATACTTAAAAGATTAGAGAACAAGAAGTTTTCAGTTTATTTTGTGCATTGTATTGCACATGTAGGCATTTAAACCTCAATCCAGCAATGAGATCCATGATGACAAGTCAGCCCATGCGCATCACACTGCATGGCCAGGATCATAATTACCCTTTCTGGTTGTGTGGCATTTTCACAGAACAACTGTTAAATATTTATTTTAAAATATAAAAAAATGTGCTTGTAAAATGAGAAAAAATAGCAATGGGACTCTGGAGCAGGTATGGTTCCTGAAAGTACATTTAACTAGTTTTTTAAACTGGCTCAAATTTCAGGCTGATGCCCTTAAAGGAAACATCAAATATTAAAACTTAATTTTAATGACAATGCATAAAAAAGTTATAGTGAGAAGTCTAAACACATTTAGGAACCAAGTTTACAGCCAACTCCTTGCCAGTACAGGCATTCATTCATATGGAACTAACTGCAAGTTTGGGACCATTGTCAGGAATCTTTCAACTAAGTGAGATCTCAGCTAAAACACAAATATTTTACAGGACAACCCATACTTATACCATTTTTAAGAAACATCTTCTAATCACATCTATTGAATTTGAGTACTCAAAATTTTCTTAAGGTGGAAGGGAAGAAATAAGTTTGTTTTTAACTTCTGGGAAGGTACCATAAAAATAACAAATTTAGAGAGTGAGATTGCTGGGCTATCCTCTTTTAGGGAAAGTTGTATATAATGGGAAAAATCTCTTTCTTTTTTAGCACCTATCACTTTGAAGGATCCCAAAACGTTTTTCAAGCTGGAGCACAGATACAAGCAACCCCTTCCACTTTTGTGCAAGAAACAGACCTAATTTCTCTCCTATGACATAACGTGAGCTGAAAATGTCTTTGCCCTGGGCTAAGGGTGCAGCTACACTTGAAATAACAAATCGTGCTTTGGCACGTATTGCAGAGTCTAACGCAGACAAGAAATAAAGTGTGTAGGTAGCAGAAGTTCTCAAATTGCATTGCACTGTGATCCCCCTTCTGACAACAAAAATTACTACACAACCCCAGGAGAGGGGACAGAGGTCTGAGCCCACCCAAGTCCCTTACCCCAGGTGAGGGGGCCAAAGCCTGAGCCCCAACACTCCAGGCGGAGGAGCCAAAGCTGAAGCCAAGGGCTTCAGCCCCAGGAAGGGGGCCTATAACCTGAGTCCTGCAACCCAGGGCTGAAGACCTGAGCCTCAGAAGGTCTAAGCCAGCCCTGGTGACCCACTTTGGGGTTCCAACCCACAGTGTGAGAAACACCACTCTACGGCTAGTGCTATTCATAGGGTTGCCAACCCTCCAGGATTGTCCTGGAGCCTCCAGGAATGAAAGATTACTCTTTAATTAACGATGATGTCATGTAAACCTCCAGGAATACTCCCAACCAAAAAACTGGCAACCCTAGCTATTCAGGAGCCAACTAAAATACATAAACCAAAAGGGAACAAGGCACTCAGAAAGCACAATAAGAGCATCCACACAAAGTTATTCCAGTATAAGTCACGCCCTTTGTCTTCACTAGGGAAGAAGCGTGTGTACTTTATCCTGTGTTTAATACACCCCGGTACAACCCTAGGCCTTGTCTGCACGTACAGCGCGGTAGTTACCGCGGAACACCCCCCACCTTCACCCCCGCGCAGACAAGGGCCTTGCAGGTTTCAACGTGACCCATGTTAAAAGTGCAGCTGCCTGCTCCGCACTAGCCGTAACGCGGGCGAGCACCAGGGAGTCCCGGGCCGGGCCGAGCCCCGGGGTTTCAAACACGCAGTTCCCTAGACCCTTGTGGGGCGGGTCTGAGCCCAGCGCCGCTGCCCCGGGGGGGGAGGGGAACGTCAGACAGGGTGAGGTGCGGTCACCCCCCAGCAGAGCCCAGCCTTACCTCTGCCGCGGCGCCGGCCCGGCCCGAAGCCGCAAGAAGCGCGACTTCAGGCGGCGGCAGCTTCCACATGGGGCAGCCTGGTGCCCCAGCAATAGCCTCCGAAAGAAACACGCTGCTCTCAGTCGGGCCGGGAAGAGACCCCGGAACCCCAGGCACGCGCGACGGGTGGGAGGGCGGTGTTAGAACCCCAGCGCCGTCCAGGGGCTGTTTCCGACCGGGCACTAGTGGCGATAGCACCAACCGGAAGTGGAGCCCTGCCTGGGCTGACGCTGTCTCCATGGCGACAGAGGGAGCTTCAGATCCGCCAGAGCGGCTGCAACGCCCAGTAAGTAACTGGAACCCCCGTCCACAGCGGGGCGGCCGGAGACCCCCCAACACTCCTTTGGCCGCCGAAATCTTGGGCGGCCACAACTCTCCTGTCCAACTGTCTGGCTACGCCGATGGACACCGGTCCTCAGGTGCGGCCAGAGCCGGAAGCCCCGCGGCCAGACACCCTCCACCGCCCAGTTCAGGGCGGACGCAGCCTCCTGTGGGTCCCACACCCAGGGGCACCTGATCTAAAACCCTCTCGCTTCCCCAGAAAGTTACCTCTAGCCAGAGCTCCCCCTGCCCCCACTTCCCGGCCAGCCTACCCCAGCCAGTCCCTAGAGATCAACTCATCCCCCACATCCCTCTGCTTAAAGTGTTCTGAAAAGGGGGAAGGGAGGGGGGGATTATCATACTCACAGATCTGCCGAGGTGAAATTCAATAAAGATAAGTGCAAAGTACTTCACTTAGGAAGGAAAAATCAACTGCACAACTACACAATGGGGAATAATTGCGTAGGCAATCTGGGTGTTATAATGGATCTCAAATTGAATGCAGTGGAGAAAAAGGCTAATATCATTCTAGAGTGTATTAACAAGAGTGTCATGTGTAAGACACAGGAGGTAATTGTGCTGCTCTATTGCAGTGGTGAGGCACCAGCTGGAGTACTGTGTCCAAGTCTGGGACCCACACTTTGAGATGTGGACAAATTGGAGAGCGTCTAAAAGACAGTAACAAAAATGATAAGAAGGTAGAAAACCTTGATCTATGTGATTTTAAAAAACTGGGCACGTTTAGTCTTGATAAAAGAAGACTGATAACAGTCTTCAACTATGTTATGGGCTGTTATAAAGAGAACGGTGATCAGTCCTCAAGGTAGGACAAGTAGTAATGGGAACAGCATGGGAGATTTTGGTTAGCTATTAGGATACACTTTCTAACTATAAGGGTAGTTAGGCTGTGGAATAGGCTTCCAAGGGAGATTGTGGAATCCCCTTTATTGAAGTTTTTAAGAACAAGTTGAACAAACAACTGAAAAGGAAGGTCTAGGTTTACTTGGTCCTGCCTCAATGCAAGGGGGCTGGACTAGATCAGTGATCCTCAACCAGGGGTCCATGTACCCCTCAGGGTACGCAGAGGTCTTCCGGGGGCACATCAACTTGTCTAGATATTTGCCTAGTTTTACAACAGGCTACATAAAAAGCACTAGTGCAGTCAGTGCAAACTAAAATTTCATAGAGACAATGACTTTTTTATCCTACTCTATATACTATACACTGAAATGTAAGAAGAATATTTATATTCCTATTGATTTATTTAATAATTATATGATAAAATCAGAAAATAAGAAATTTTTCAGTAATAGTGTGCTGTGACACTTTTGTATTTTTATATCTGATTTTGTAAGCAAGTAGTTTTTAAGTGAGGTTTAACTTAGGGCTATAAATCAGACTCCTGAAAGGGGTACAGTAGTCTGGAAATGTTGAGAGCCACTGAACCAGATGATCTCTTGCGGTACCTTCCAGTCTGACAGTTCTATTATTCTATCATCTGGAAGTAGCCGCTGTCATAAAAAACGTGCTTAAAATTCACCCTTCAGCAACCCAACTCAATTTAAAATTTTGATTTTTGCTAGGTGTGCAACCCCTCATGACTCTTCCCCCCATATACTTTAAATACTGCCCTGTCCCAGTTCCCGCTGGTTGGTAGATCTTTTTACCAAGCCTGAGGTGCCTGTTCTCTCAGCCAAGCCACCATAGTAAAGTGCTGCAAGATTAGATTTTAGATTAGAAGGTTGGGTCCTGCTGGCTCAGCCAGATTCTTATTAGACAAAGGCAAAAAGAGAGGTAGGAGGAATAAAGTAGGGATGGAATGAAGACAGAGGATTGGGATTGAGGGAGCAGGAACCTTAGAGTCACATCTTATGAATTGCTCACCATATGGCCATGAAAACGGTGATGTCTTCTGGTTCTCTCTCCCTATCTGTGCTGATAGGAACATCTTTTAGTATCAGGAAAAAGATGCATGTGCCTCGGTGATAAATCCCTGAGCCCCAGGTTGTGGTGGCAGCTGTGATGGTGATGATGCTCCAGTCTCCTGACCAAACTCAGAGCTTACTGCCATTCTCTCAGCTGAGCAAGGTAGCAAGTATTCCTTAGAAAGTAAATATCCAAAAGGAGATGGCATCCTCATTTAAAGTAAATTTGAAAATCAACACAAGTTTTTGATCATTCATAAACCTTTCCTCATATTAGTCCAAACAAATACAATTCACATAGTTTATTTGAGTTTGCATTCAGCTTTCTTTTTTTGATCATTCTTTCAACAACGTGTTCATAGGTTAACCCCCGTACTGTTGCCAATTTTGGGGAAAGATTTGAACAAATTGGAGAGAGTCCAGAGGAGAGCAAAAAAATAAAAAATGATAAGATGTTTAGAAAGCGTGGCCTATGAGAAAAAGTTGAAAAAACTGGGCATGTTTAGTCTGAAAAAAAGAAGGTTAAGGCAGGATGTGATAACAGTCTTCAAATATGTAAAAGATTGTTAAATGACCTCCGAGGGTAGGACCAGAATTGGTCAGTTTAATTTGCAGCATGGGAGATTTACTTAAATATTAGGGGGAAAAGTAATTATAAGGCCAGTTAAGCACTGGAACAAGCTTACCTTGGGAGGTTGTGGAATCCCCATCATTGGAGGTTTTTAAGAACAGGTTGGACAGACACCTGTCAGGGGTAGTTTAGGTGTACTTCATCCTGCCTCAGCACAGGGGATGTACTAGATAACCTCTTGAGCTCCCTTCCCGTTCTACATTTCTATTATTCTAAGCCAGGCTGTGCTGCCATTGTGCAAAGGAGAGATATTATGAAGACCTGGCAATATGGCCATTGGGGTTGTCCTGTGACCATTAATGGGGTGTTAGTTAGATTGTCAGCACACTGAAGACAGTGCCGTCTTGCAATAGTCACATAATGTAATGCAGACAGTATAGATGCAAGTGGCTTTACGGTTACATGGGGAAAATACTTATCATCTGACCTACAAGTTCATTCCAGAACTAAGAATCAAGGTGAGTTCCTTTTGTCTTAGATATTATAAAAAGGCTTCTGTGCGGTAAAATTCTGTCCTTTTCTATACCTGTGTAATAAAGAGTAAAACTGGCCCTGTAATAAAAACTTGAAATGCAGTACACAAGCAGGTGCTAAACTGCAAATGCAATTTAGGAAACAATTCTTTTCATGAGGCATGAGCCACAAGAGAATCAAGATCCCTCTCTCAGAGCAGTGTTGGTTTCTGCAGAGCTAACAGGAGTAAAAAAAGTAAACATAATTTTTTACTAAGTCTCTGAACCTTTTATTAAGCGTGAGTTAATTTACAGTCATTTTTCAGAGAAGAATTATACTGTAAATATAGTTGTTAAAACTTCTGTATAGCCTATATATTCCAGACAAGGTATTTCTCTCTTAAGGCTAGATCCTGCAAATGTGGTCTCCTGTGGTACATTGCTGTCCCTGCACAAAGATCAGTTAAATTAAATTCATCCAGGTATATAGATCAATTGCAGGATCTAGCCTTCAGGCCCCAATCCTGCAAGCTGTTTCACATAGGGTTTGCCCATATGGAATTCACTGCAGTATTGGAGCCTAAATATAGTTCAAACCTAGATGAGCATAATCTCAGAAATTTTAAACAGAAATTATGAGGGCTTGCTGTCCAAAGAATAGGTTTACTCATCATATTTTATGATGTAAAACAGATGCCTTTCATTATATATTAATTCAGGAAGAAATGTGGTACTTTTACATTTAGTAAAAACCAAGTCAGTATTTTTGTAGATTTTAAAAATAATATTATTTCAGGGATTACAGAAGAGGACATGCAGACTCTGAGGCAAAATAGGTTTACATTTTGCTGCAAGGTCCGTAGTTTCAAGGACACTCCATTGTTGATTTCCATGCTGATTTCCAAATTAAAATAGGGTATTTGGGTTTTTAATTGAATTAAGCATGAAAATAGTGCAATCCACTCTGTTGTTATTTAATATAACATTAAATTCAGTGTAGTTCATGTTGCTCCCACATTTTTGAATTATATTAGTTTTTTTATTGACAGTTCATAATTGCATTATAGAAGCTGTTGTTAGGAAGCATTGGATTTTAACTGTTGGGTAGGGAACAGTTTGAGCTTTTAGCACCCATGTGGGTTCGGGAGGTGATTTAAGTTTTTGACACACAGAAGGCAGTTGAGGTTTTTGACAATGGGAAATTAATTTCTTCTTTTCATCTGTTCCTTGAAGGAAGAGTTGGAAATTTTCTGAAAATTTTGGGGGGCTTGAACAGATTGTTGGGGAATTTGAACCATATTCCTCACTGCTCACATCCCAATATCCACCATCGTATCCAACAACTATTGTAATATAATCACATTTGCTTGGTGTTTCTGAGAAAATAATCAACAATGAAATAATTAAATTATCATCATTTAGATTTAGATTTCAGAGATAACACCCAATTGAAAAGGGCTGTACACTATCATATAGCTGATTCTGAAATTCTGAGCAATCTCAAACTACATTTGCTACAATGGAAGTGGAGGGCACTAAACAGGTTGTAGGATTGTGCAAGTAGAGCCTCTGTTACAGTCTGTGTGTTTGCAGACTTAAGAAGATACCATGACATCACTTTGCATTTAGTGTACCTTTGGAGGGTTTTCCTCCCAGCTATGAGGCCTAAAATTTAAATTAAAAAAAAATGCAACTTTACAGTCTGCTATACAATCTGTTAACCCATGTGCACTTTATTTCAGAATGAGAGGGAGTAAATGCATTATAAGCATAACAGCATATCTATTGAACTCTGAAGTCAATGAGGTTTTGAATGGATAGAACAAGTTGTAGGATAGGGGCCTTACTCTCACTCCCCTGCACATTCAACTGCCTGTCAAATAATTGAAACAAAAATAGGCTATTTGATTCTGTAACAATCTTTGTAACAACTACAAATTATAATAACTATGTAAAG